TGCTTCACTATATAAAATCTCTCCATCTTTCGAGGTACTCGCAACACATCCTTGAGATTTTGATGACTCTACAGTATTCTCTATACCCTTTTTAAACCAATAACCCTTTTTGAAGTGCCCCCTTTTTGCCACAGTTGTAGCATTTCACAGCCTTCTTACTTCTTAATTTGGCCCTCCCTTGCCTTTGACTCCCACTAGAGCCACGCTCCGTTGATCTTCCTCTTGACACCAACATGATTCTCGTTTTCCATAATGAGAAATTACTCTCTTTAAACCTCTCAATCCCGTACTTTGCTGCCATTATATTCACCGAGATCTATTCAGTTATCACTGTTTCACAGGTCTGTAACGTATATAGAAATAGTATCGTGTGAATAATACTTCACTAAGTAAGTTCCCAGGAAAGATTGGAGGGGTCACAAACGGTCCCGCTTAAAACCCAATCTCCTTAGACAGAACTTCCTAGACTGTATTTAATCACCGCACTGACTTTCTATATACGCCAACAGCAACGTATGTGAACAGTACCGTATGGATGAACAGTACCGTATGGGTGAATAGTGTCGTATAAGTGGATAGTAACCGTATACACGAATAACTTTTGTGTATTAACAACACCAACCAGGAGGCTCTGATACCACTGTTAGGATGCTGGCATGCAAACCCGACAAGACAAAAGATAAGGGACAAGATAAAATGAGAAATGACACACAAGAATTTACGTGTTTCACCCAATTTGGCTACGTCTACGGGCAAGTATAGAAGAATTTTATTAAGTAATGTGGGAATACAACTTATCTCTTAATAATACTTCACTAAGTAAGTTCCCAGGAAAGATTGGAGGGGTCACAAACGGTCCCGATTAAAACTCAATCTCCTTAGACAGAACTTTCTAGACTGTATTTAATCACCGCACTGACTTTCTATATACGCCAACAGCAACGTATGTGAACAGTATCGTATGTGAACAGCATCCATACAAAAGACAAGGACAAGATAGGTAACATCAAATTTGTGCCTAACATTGTTGACAAATTAGTGCCTAACATTGTTGACTTTGTCAACAATCTTAGGGTGATTTCACAGTTAGCACACAAATCTATGATATATGCAAAGCTAAAAATCCCTTCTTCCCTTCTAATACAAACATCATCATCCCCTCCCGAATCAGAATTATTTTGTCCATCGTTCGGATTTCAAATTACGGCCATGTGCCTAAAAGACGTGAAACAAGAAACAAGAAGCAACAACAATTAAAAACGCTTAACCAGTAATCTTCTTCGTGTCTAAAAAGGAAAAAACAAATAAAAAGGACAGCAACTATTGTTAGGTTTTTATCAGGAGAAAAAATAGTAATCACTCTTTATATATTGCTATGGGCTGGATTTAATCTGTAATATAATGGCTGTTAGGACACACGTCGGCTAAGACTATGTTTCTCACAGTTTCTGTTTATATTTTTAGTTTAAAAGAACATTGAATTAATATTTTTTTTATATTTTATAATGATTTTAATGTGATGTTTAAGTGTTAAAAAAATAAAAAATAAAAATTAATATATTTCACCTATATGCATGTACAATCCTATAAGATTTTGTTTAATGTCCAGGTATAAAGATAGAACAATAATACTCATTCATCAGGATGAGGAAGGGGGAGAATTGCCTTCCATTTGCAGTCCGAAGAACAAATTGCACATGGGATATGTAAATATTGAAAACAAGCATTAGACATTAATTTTCCATGCGAGATAGGCAAGTGACCAAGGCGGTTCCAGAGCAGTACCACCACCACTTACCGAAGCCGGCTTTGCCAGTCAAGACCTAATCCACCTTCACATTAAGTAATTGTTAAGATTCTTGATTCACTTGTTCCGAACAAGATCGTTGGATAAAGTGGAGGCTGCACTACTCAAGACAATCATTGACTCCACCACTACATTAATTAAACAAACCAGGGTGACAAGAACAAAAGGCCGACGTGACATAGAAGCACATCGAATCAAGCCGAATCTTTTTCTTCTATTATCATTCCATAGTCAGATTTAAATTCCTTCTCGTTTCACCGCCATCGGTCCGAGATCCTCCTTTCATTTCCCTCGACAGTGAAACAAAAGAGACTTGGATCACATGGTTTTGCGTACTTTTCATTTGCGGCTCTCGCCTTTTCCTATTCAGATACGAAAATGAAGAACCCAAACTATATTCCCCGTAGACCGAAGAGAGACCCACAAGGACAGGCCATCTTCAATTCCTCGTTCTTTACAATATAGGTGCACCAAAAATATAGCCCAACCAAATCTCAAAAAGCTTTAAAAATGTTCACATGGCCCATCTACACACACACACACATATATATATATAATAATCTGTGTATATTTCCAGTTTTCCATTTCATTTGCAAGAGTAACCCCCCAAGTAGATCATTTGCAAAAGTAACCCCCCAGTAGATGGTCACACTCGCATTCTATGTCTGTTGCCCTTCTCTGCTGCAATGGAGAGAAGTCTTGCGACGCCTTGAGTCCAGAGATCATATTCCTTCTGGTTCGAGCACTCAAATTCGATAACTCCCCGTTGCAAAGTTTTCAAACCGAAATACCGCCTTTGCTCACCTCTCTCTAGCAAGTGGCGGCCTGGCCAGGAGGGCATATCTTTGATCACCTCGATCACCACATCTGTAAAATGAAAATTCAAAAGGTGTTTGTGCCACTTTAACTTTTTCTCAAATCCCCAGAATGGAAGAAGCCCTACCTCCTATTCTGTTTTTCACATTATTAGAGAAAGACAAATGCAATGATACTCACTCTTTTTCTTTTTTGTAATGGTCCCAGCGACATGTTTGCTCTTCATCTTCAACATAACCTGCACAAAAAGAAGTTTCAAAAGTTAAAGGTCGCCAGACCAGAATAAAGAAAGTGGTTCCATTTATTTCATCATTTGATCATATCTTTAACTTTGGCACTGATCCCTTTTGACCTCTTTAGATTAGATCCACACTCATCATGGCCGAATAATTCAACGATTTGATATTCCAAAACAGTAAAAGCACGAATTTTGGTTTGAATGGAATCTATAATTACCTGATTCATTTTGTTGACATAAACAGAAACTATCTTCCAGTGAAGGTCACCTGCATTGATCACAGCAACCTCATCAAGATTCTCCTCCCACATCAAGTACCAAATTTTGTTCCAAAATTGCAGTCACGTAATTTTAGAGTTTTCCCAACTCTACCACAATCCGCGAGACAAGAAGATTAGAGAGCCAATATTACAAAGAAATCAAGTTCTAAATTAACTGATAGAGGAAAATATTAGCCAACAAATAACCTTGACAAGGAGTAGCTAGTTACCATCAACATAAACCTCATAAATCATAATACAAAATGTCTCCGTAGAATACCAGCTAATTTAAATAATCATTGTTTAGACATTTTCCAACTTCCATTCAATCTTGGGAAAAATAGAAAACAGAGCTAGATAACTAAATATGCAAAAACAAGTGTGAGCTCAACTAATTTTAAACATGGAAATAATCACCTTTGCGAGTGCGCTTGAGGAGCTCACAACCTCTGGCAAGCAATTCCCTGCTGCAGATGCCCAGGAAATTCTCTTCAGGCACAAGTTCACCACTGAAACTACCATTAGAACTACCATTACTGCCATTTCCAACACCCACCCCTACTCCTTTATCCACTGGAATGACCGCAGCAATATTCCAGACTTCCTTCAATGCCCTCGCCTTCAACGTTGCTGCACCACGTAATGCTGCACCAAAAATCTCGAATTATTTCAATTAAATTGTTGTCCATAAATTTAAATAGATCACGTATAATCGGCATTTATCCATTATGATAAACATAATTTATTACTGTTAAATAAAGGACAACAAACATACCAGTAGCAGCAGCAGCAGTTAATGTCATGATATCACCTGCAGAACGCACAGTCAGCGCAGAATTCAACACAGATGCAAGGCGCTCACGCTCTGCCCCCATGGCCTCTGCTGCCTCCACACATTGTGCGGCCACCAATGTAGCAGCGGATGCCACCGCCATGTCAGTCTTTGCCATTTGCTCATCTTTCCCAGCCCCCGAAGTGGCAGCTGTTGCAGCTGCAATTGCAGCGACAGCGGCAGCAACCCCTGCCACAGATATTGCAGCATGAAGCTGCGCGTTGTGGGTCCGCACCTCCTCCTTTTTCTTCTCTCTCCTGTCCTTCAACCACCTACCAACAGTCTTACCACCACCACCGGCAGCGGCTACTGTGAGGGCATTACCACCAGGAGTGACAGCAGGTGGACGGAACTGTATATTAGGCGGATTGTTGGGTCGACAAAACTGAGAAGAAGAAAGCACATGGATCTATAACTCATCAATTTCATTAAAAAACATCGGTTTCCTTTCTCAAAGTATTTTCTCCTAAAAATTGGGTTCAAGATTTTAGTATTTTCTGAATCATTAAACCAGCAAGTAAAATTGATTGTCTAATAATTAATCATCATAGAGACACATCAGAGACTATCTAAAATTATGGTGGTGGGTTGTTATGATGTTCTTAAAACAAAGCGGGTCCAGACGCCATAAATGTGTTGCTGTGGTTATGCATTGTAACTAATCTAATTCACTCTCTACGGGACCAGCTTGTACCCGCGTCTTCTAAAAACTACAAACGAAGAAGGTGATTAGATCTAAACAGACAAGGGCACGTATATGGTCATTATGCAATCCACGCACGTCGCAAACAATAGTAGTTCCACTATTTTTGATAAAATGACAGAAAAGCAAACACCATCTTACTCAAAATTTTGTTAACCTTGTTGATTTTACAGAAAAATACAAGGAGAAAGAAGAAAAGCCACAGTAGTTTTCTTTGGAACAAAGCAAAGTATACTACAGGAGACATGAAAACAATAGTATTATTGATTTTCATTCTCAAAACAATATTATTGCTTTTCTTATTATAAAAAGATTAACAGAACAACAGATAATAGATTCTTTCTCTCTCTCTCTCTCTCTCTCCCCCTATCACTGGTGCGAAAAAGTATCATTGGTTACAGAGAAAGCCTGAGATATGTTTCGTGGGGGGCCTAGAGTCAGTGGATCAGAAAACGTGTTTTGCACCAAAAAAGATCAAAAACAAACACAAACACACAGAATCGACGAGACCAACTTTATTCAAACTTCGCCTACAATTACCCTAAAAATAGCAACAAATTTCATAACATTAATCAGCTTCGGCCAACTTTAACGAATTACCTTGACATCGTCCATCTCAGATGGAGAGACAGGAGGACTGTCCGTTAAGGACCCATTGAGAGGTCCACTGCTGTGAGAGAGTCGGCCTGAAGTGCGTGGAGATACCTCCTGCTGCATGAGTAGACCCCACAAATCAAGAAATGAAGTAAAAGTTTGGGCAGTTGTAACTTTATTGTGAGAATTGAAATTAATAACAGTAGGGAATAGACTAGTGACTGTGAAGGAGACAGTCTTTGTTTGCGTTTCAAGAGATTATAGCGTGGGAAAAGAAACGATGGTGGAGCAACTGTTAATGTGGTTGATATGGATTTTGAATGAGAGATAAAACCAAAAAGATAAAAGAAGAGTGAAAATGGAGCGTGTAGGGATCAAAGCAAGGTCAGAGTTAGATTTCTCTTATAAAACAGATATAGGCAGGGCAATACAGATAAATTTTACAAATTGGTTCGATCAGAAAACAGAGAGAAGCAAACAAACACCGAAGAAGAAACAAGTGTTATTTTATTTTATTTTTGGCAAAAGAGAACCAAACCAAAGCGTCATAAAGGACAAAGACAGTGATTTGCTTCGTATATTATTAAAGAGAGAAGAACAAAACAAAGACTCAAAGAGCCAAAAAGAAAAAGGAAGAAATCTCACTAACTATCTTTATTCTTTCCATCTCTCTCTCTAAAATATATAAAATTAAACTCACCGACTGTGACATGATTCTCTCCAAGACCATCTGGGATGTCTCGGAGGAAGCAAAAGAAAAGGGGTTTCCAGAAACGGTAGCACAACCCTCTTCTAACTCTCCAATGATATCCTCCTGTATCATACCACCAGCACCGCATGGGATGGTCTTGCCAGAGAAGACCATTTGTGGGGCCACGGCTTTTGATACCTCTAAAGCTGACACACTCCATGACCGTGAAAGAAATTCCATGGGCTCACGTGGTGTTTCCGGTGGCCGGAAAACCGGGTCGGGTCGCCATAGCTCCGTTACGGGTTTGTCCATTGGAGAGAGAAGATGGTGGACGTGTGTTCAGTGTCGAGGTGTTGGTGGTGTGTTTAGTGGGGTTATTACTGGGGAAATGGTTGGGTGTGGGTGTTTTATAGAGGATGGTGGAGCGAGATGTCAGGTTCTTATGATTGTCTTTCTTATTCTTAAAGTATTGGATCGGAGATAACGATAAAAAGGATAAATTAAATTAAAAATAATACTTCAAAAAAAAGAAAGGAGAAAAGAAAAGTTCGGATTAGAGTTTTGTTTTTTCTTTTTTTTTTTAAGAAAAACCACTTATTGTAATTTTTTTAGTTGCTGAGGTAAAATTTGAATTTTAAATAGTGATATAAATCCAGGAGCATGTGTTATTTAAGCTTAACTTCTCTGGTCATCCTAGTCAATGCAAATGATGGTCGTACTCTTAATTGGTAGGCTGCAACTTTAGATAACCATGTATTTTTGTTATTGTAATAATTTTTATGGTTATAATTTAAAAAAATTATTTTATTAAAATTATTTTTAATTGATATTAATTTATTATTTATATATATTTAGTTAAAATTATAGTTTAAATTGAAATCAAATAAAAAGTAATTTAATATATTGAGTTAAATATATTTTTTAATTTGAGGTTATAAAATAATTAATATATATATATATATATTAATATTGATAATTTTTAATTTAAATATTATAAATTTAACTATTATTATTATATAATTAAATAAATAATACTTTTTATTATTTTGTTAATTTATCTACAATTTCATTACATATAAAATTCATTTGATAAAAACTATAGTTTTCATGATTTTTTAAGTATGCAACAAAATCATGTAAAATACTATCATAAATAAAATTGAAATTGTGATCAAAATCCACAAATGATATGTCATCATGTGATATTCTTCTAATTTATATAGTATTATTAAATAATATTAAATATTAATTTTTTAAATAAAATATAATTTTTTTAAAATAATTTTTTTACTAAATCGAACACAATAAATAATAAATATACTGTTCATGCAAATAGTGTTGTATAGTGAGAATCATGACATTGTTCAAACAATGTCCAGATAAATTAATTCATTAGACACTATTTATTTCTTAAAATAAATACTGTCTAAATAAATTATTCACCTAATAATTATGAGAAAGAGCTCTCAATTGTAACAACCAATGATTTTAATCCAAAATAAATGGATCCCACACAACACAACTAAGTATTTTTTTATTATTTAATATTTACATGGTTGGCTTTTAAAGCTATTATGTAAATAATCACTACATTACTATTATGATATGAATGGAAAATAGTGATTCATTAATTTTACCCTTGTTTGCATAAATTGTTTGGTTTTATATTTTAAAAGTATTTTTGTTATTTCAATTATTTTTTATATATTTTTTAATTATTAATATATCACAAATAATTTTTTTTTAAAAAAATATATTTTTAAAAGTAATCAAGAACACAATACCTAACACAAGTTTTTTTCTGATAAGGGAATGAGAGTTTGAGCAGGGTGGCTATTACGTGTCACATGATGCTGGAAAGGTCGTACATGTGTGATGAAATTCGGTACTATGATGGTCAAACTCTCGCCGGGAGCTGGAACTCGTTTGTCACGTCGAGTTACACTGAGTGAAGTTCCTGCATGGAAGACTATTCCAAGACTCTCTTGGTATTTGAGTTAGTGTAAAGTATTTATGAAGAAACTCTTACAGGAACTACATAAAATATGTAGCGTTGAAGAGAAGGAGATGAGGATAAATTCCAGGATTTTCTAAATATGTGAGGTAACTTCCATGGTAGCTAGAGTCCAAGAAGCTTACATGGAGTAGGGCTGTCAAAAACCATTTTGTTCATTTGTTCATGAGATATGAAAAGTAATATAATGTCAACGTAAAAATAAATTGTAAAATTATTAATATTTTTTTATGCATGGTTTATGCAAATAATAAACAATTTTATCAATAAATATAAGATGTGCTTATTCTTACAATAAAAAATTACACCAGGCAATATACTAGGAGAAGAATTGAAAGTGCTCGATCTCTTTAGATATGCATGATCGTTAGTTTTTTAGCTTACATGATATTTTTATCTTTATAAATAATGCATCATGCTTTTTTTAGATATTATTATGCTTTTATAAGTTTCAAATATTATTTATTATATATCAACAAGGAATTACAAGCTTTGCATGAATCAATACAAATGAATAAAGTATTTAAGAATATAACCATTTCATTTTTTTATCTTGGGGTTCGGTTCTTGTTAGGTTATATCTTGTACAGATTATGAGATCTTCTATAGAGAAGACATGGTATTGTAAACTTGTTTGAGAAACTATGATATCCAAAGATAAATTCATGATAGATCAGACTTTTCAATATGACTCGTCACTCTTGCTCGTAGAAATATCCTTGTTGATAAGAATTTTCAAATATTTATTCTATAATAAATATTTTTTATTTGCTATGGATATTTAAAAGAAGATTATTTTTCTTTCATTTTCATACTACTGATGGAAGAAAAAACCATGGATGAAAGCTTTATAGAGCTCATAGTCTGGCAAATAAATTAAATACAACGGTATACAACTTGAAAGATAAAAACTGTGAATTTGGAATCATTGCAAAATCTTAAAATCATGATTTCACTGATCTCACATGATTTTACATATATTTTATTTTTATATGATTATACGTGATAAATATATGCTGACTTTAAAATTAAATTTTACAAGTGATCTCGTAATTCTAACACGAGTTTCGTTACGAAGTTCTATCTGTAGAGAGAGACGAAGAGAGAGATAGCTTTGGTCTTCTCTTGAAAGCAAAGGAGGACCGAGGGCCCGGAAACCACATAACACAAGAACGTGGCAAAGTGACCCCAGGCCCCCAGCTACGGTCAGCCCACAGGAGGTATAAATATTTGAAAAGGATGTTTTGTTGTTTTCATAAATATTTTATAACAAATGTTGTCAACCATTTGTTTCGTGTAAGAAATTATATAGTTTCTACCTTTAGTTTATTTTTAATTTTAAAATTTTATAAAATATTTTACATATTCTCGGTTTGTTTCTTCTACCTGTAAAATCTAATATGATGTCTCTAACTCATGACACGTTGCAGAAACTCTCTGTATGAAATCTGGCTGGCTAAAAAGACTTCAACCAGTCTCCCTCAAGAATATTTTGGAATTACAAGGCGTGTTTGCTAGCTCTGAGAAAAATAATTCCCTAGAAAGACATGAAAGGGAAACCAAGGAAGATCGAAGTTTGTTTTTTTGTTGTTTGTAGCAGTGAGCTGTGGCCAGAAATAGAACCGCCCGCCGGGAGTTGGAACAGATGTCACGCGAAATGCTTGCTACAGAGAAGGTGGGTGTACAACGGTTTTGGTACTACGTTCTGGTGTTCGAAATTTGGTTCCCCAGCAAGGACACTGCTTCGACTTCTCATCATATGCTACGTGTCTATCAATATAACAGTGTAAAGAGTTGCACTTTCATGTATTAATTTAATTAATTTTAGTTATTGTTTTCGAAGGTTTTTTTATATATATATTATAATAATATATTTTAAAAAAAATTGTTTTTAATATTGATAAATTAAAACAATAGAAAAAATAATTTTTTAAAAGTACAATCACACCTCAAAAATAAATGCATTCTTAAATATATTTTTATCAAATCCAAGATTTATATTGAAGATAAAATCTTGTTAAATTATAAATATTTCTAGTAAATAACTAAAACTACTGTTATTCTGAGAATAGAAGTTATATAAAAATGAAATTTACAATTTAAAAAAAATAACTTTTGATCATGAAAGAACTTTTACTTCTCATTTTTTTATTGAAAAAATAAAATGCTTCCTCAAAGGCAAAAGCACGAGACTCGTCACAGAATGTGATGGAAGCCTTCCCCATTCATTTAGCGGGAATCTGAAATGGATATTTCACTGAAAGCACATTTTGAGACCAGCTAAAAACAAATGTTTCCAAATATAGCTTACTTAAAATCCTTTTCTTATATATAAAAAAAACGAGTGAAATCTAGTATTTACGTGCTTTAAGATTTGATGAAGAGAACAAGATCAACGACGGTAACAACAAGATGGATCTACAAGGAGAGATGATTTGATCAACCTCCAAACTATGTATTAACACTTAAAATTTAACATCAAACTACTGAATAAATAAATAAATAAATAAATAACGAGAAAAAAGTGGCTTCAAGCCTTCAGAACTCGACGCCTGTAATTACTTGTTTGTTGATATTAGCATATACGCTGCTTTCGATTGAATTAATGGCATTTTTTTTAGAAGAAAAGGAAATAAAGTCTTTTTTTCATCTGCATATATAGCTAGATAAAACAAACAGTATTTTACACATGAAAGAGAATTAAACTGGTCATGAAATCGAGCGAGAGTAGCATCACTAAAAAAAAAAAACTTTTAATTTTTTTTTAAATTTATTTTTAATGTTGATGTATAAAAAAACAAAAAAAAAATAACAACTCTTAAACCTCATTTATTTACTAGAAAGTAGGTTTTTTCAGAAAATAAATTTTAAAAAGTGAATTATATTTTGATAATCGATAATGTAATAAAAATAACTTAAAAAATACTTTATAGTATTTAGTTATATCATGGAAAATGAGTTAGAAAATAAATTATTATTATTTTATTTTTTTCAAATTTATTAAAATAATGAGAAACAAATCTTACAAATTAAAAAGTTGAATGAGAATAAAATTATAAAAAAAATATAATTTTATAAATTATCTTGAATAAAATAAATAATAATCAAAATAATAGAGATCAAATCTAACAAATAAAAAATTTAAAAAATTTAATATTTAAAATAATAATTATTATTATTTTATAAATTATTTTAAATAAAATAATTAACAATAAAAAAAATAATGATCAAATTTGATAGATAAAATAATTTCAATTAAAAAATAAAAAAAATAAATAACAGTTATAAAAATAAAGATCAACGTTAGTATGAAAATCATATTCTATGTAATAACATTAAAAAATAAATATTTAAAATAATAATAATTAAAAATTTAATAATCAAATTTAATATAATTAGTAAATAATATAGTATTTTTAAATTTTT